TTTTCAAGTTCGTTGATTTGTGATTTGGGAATGATCGGTACGTATTGTTTGAGTGTATATACATTTTATGGGGCTAAATAGGACCCACATTTTCTGGATTAGATATTAAGTGCTGTAGTTTTTTGGGTTTGATTTCTTTTGATACCTTTCATTCAAGATCTTTCAGATCTGTTTCCATCTAGAATTTGCATTTTTCTTTTTTCTTTTTTTTTAAATGTTGTTTTTAGTTTGTATTTTCTATGATCTGAAAGTTATATTGTAGATTTGTTTTCTTTTATAAACCGAAAACCTAAATTTGAGCAACAAATGCCGAACCGGCCAGTTCGATTCAGTCCAATTCTGTCGGTTTTATGGTTTTTGGGTAAAAAGTGTCAACCCATTTGGAACAAGACAAACAAAACTTCAAAATTTTAAAATTGATAAATAATAATAAAGCAAAACTCACGGTCCAAATTAAATCTCTTCGTGGCCTCATCCTCGATATAACAGGGCCTTTAATTTGGATTACCATTTTTGTTCTTCTTTTTTTTTTAATTTTTGATTTTTGATTTTTGATTTTTTGATTTTATTTTTTTGAGATAGAGGAAAAAATAAATGAATAAGAATGTATGAACAAAGTGGATGGGTGGTAGAAATTTTATGGTGTGCAGTCGTTTTTATGTGCTTACTCGCCACAACTCCAAGGGTCTCCAAGTTCATTGGAGAAATAATGTTGCCTGCAAAACTTGCACAATCCATCTTTGAGTGAAAAGAGTAACGAAAACTAATTTATACGAGGTAATTAACCTTCCCTGACCCTTCTCCGGAATTAGGAATGTTTTCGTAATTCTTGTATTGTTCTAACCTAGTTTGCCGGTATTTTTCTCTAGTAATGCTAAGTCTATCCCAAGGAATACCTTGGATGTCTTTTCCTTTTCTTGCTTGAGCAGCAGTTGTAATAAGGCACATGCATATGTTGTGAACATGTATATTTAACTCTATTGTAAACACTGAAAACATATAAGAACAAACAATATTTGGTATTTAGAAAAGCAATTGCAATTTAATTTGCGAAACAAACATTAGAAAGACATCAATCTCTTTGGCAAATAGAAGATTACTCATTAATGCATACCAAAAGAAATTCACTTTCCAAATAATAGTAAAAAGAAAAAAAAGAGTTACTGTGTAGTTAGTATAGTTGTGGGGATTCCACCAAAAAAAAAAAAAAAAAAAACTAGTCCAATTTTGTAGCTAGCCCAAATTGAAACCAAACCAGACAAAGTCACGTTTGGTTTTGGTTTGGAATTTCGATAAACCAAGCTGACCAGTTCTGCTTTCAATATGACTCAAAATTGAATCAACCCCAAGCATGCCCAACCCCAGCCACCAAAATCGATTCCATTTGGTCACGGGGTTCTCACATTGAGTCTGATGAAATATTTGGGCCAATTAGTGTGGGCCTCTACATCTTTCATTCCTCAAATCACATGAAAGACGGAAGAAAAACATGGTGCAATTCCGACGAAAGTCTAGGACGAACTAGAGAGAGAAACAAATTTCCCCTTTTACTTTACAAATCTTCTTTTTTACATTTTAAAGACATTAATTTAAATTGTGTATATTGGTTTATTTTATCTATATATATAAATCAAAAAGCAGAGAATGATGAAACATTAAAAATACCATAAAATACTCTTAGTTAATTCAAACATTAAGAATTGAAATTATTAATTAAATGAGGATAATATGGTAAATTCACATTTTTCATATTAAAAAAATTAAAAATAAAAATAAAATTAGATAATATGTCCTACTTTTATGAAACATAACTTTCCATGTTATCTTTTCTTAATTTTTTTTTTTTTTTTAAAAGAAAAAAAAAAAACCAATTGGCACAGGGGCTAGTTTTATTTAAATTGGAAAATGTCTGTTTTGTAGCTGGAATGAAATAATTTAGCAGAACGAAAAGAGTGACTAATATATAGGGGGATAGAGGGTCCCATTGCCTTATACCACAATGAGGAGAGAAAGCTGTAGTTAACTCACCATTGAGTATGGCCTTGCATTGATCAGTACAAATACAATGCATCAATAATTCTAGGGTTCGCCCCCTAATTCCCACCTCCCACAGAACCTCCCAAACAAAATTCCAATGCAACCGATCATAAGCTTTGGATAAATCAATTTTCCAAGCAATAAAACCCTTTTTTCCTTTAGCAGTTTCAAATTTATGTAGCACCTCTTGAGCAACAACAATATTATCTGTAATCTGCCTTCCTAGGACGAAACTTACTTGGTTCGGGCTAACAAGCTTGGCCATACAAGGATGAAGCCTAGCTACAAAAATTTTAGAGACCACTTTATAGAGCGTGTTGCAGAGGCTAATAGGCCTAAGTTTTGTCATGGAGACAGGTCTCTCCACTTTAGGTACCAAGGCAATAAGAGTCTCATTGATGTGCTCAGGAATGGTGGCAGTTTGAAAGCACTCTTTGGTAAATGAAATGATATCATTAGAGCAAACCTCCCAAAACTTCTGATAAAAAATAGCAGGGAAGCCATCAGGACCAGGGGTCTTTAAACCACCAATGTTGAAAAGGCTCTCTTTAATCTCTTCATTAGACACAACACAACTCAACCCCGCAAGATTAGCCTCCTCAAGATGAGGAAATAATTGAGGGAGCAGGGAATAATCACTAACTGACTCAGAAGTGCAAAAAAGACCCTGAAAGTAGTCAACAATAATATGCTTCATGCCTGTTTTGTCTGTAATCCAGTCCCCATTATCATTATTTAGACCTTCCAATTTATTTATCCTCCTCTTGATAATTGTAGACAGATGGAAAAATTGAGAATTTTTGTCACCTTCTTTAAGCCATGTATTTCTTGATTTCTGCAACCAGAAAAGCTCCTTGCTCAAGGAGCAGATTGCAGTTGTTGGTTAATTCATCTTCATTGTGCCCCAAACACAGCTTCCTTTGGATACCTGCAAGCCAAGCCAGGAGCGTTCTTTTTTTTTTTTTGTTGTTGGAATAAGTAACCAAAAACTTGGTGGTTCCAAGAAATAAGAGAGGACTTAAGGCGAGTAGATTTTTGACTAGCATGACCATCTCCAATACTCCAATTAGCATGGATAAACTCAGGGAAATCAGGGTGAGACATCCACATTGCTTGGAACCTAAAAGGAGTACAATCTCTCGCAGGATAGTGGTTGGAATCTAAAGAGCCCAGAACATGACAGTGGTCAGAGTTCACTATAGGAAGATGAGATAGATGAGCCTCTAGGAATAAAAGCCGCCAATTTATGTTTCACAAACCCCTATCAAGCCTTTCCAGATAATACCCTCAGCATTTCTCTTATTGCACCACGTAAATTTAGCACCAGAGAAACCCAAGTCCACAAGTTGATTACGATCAATCCATTCAACAAAGCTTCTACCACCCTGGTCCAAGTTGCCTCCACATTTTTCATCCGCACTAGCAATGTCATTAAAATCACCTAGGACCAGCCAAGGCAGGTGGGAGGCACAGGCAAGGCCATCAAAGTATTTCCACAGGGATTCTCTAATTCTCGGGCAGGGATTAGCATACACCACAGTCAAGAGTCACCACTGATTCCCCAAAGTCACTAAAGCAGTAGTAGATTGACTGGAATGGGCAACAGCATGGAGAGACACAGAGTTACCATTCCACAGTAACCAAACACCCCCAGAAAAACCAGTAGCATCAACAATGTGATAGTGAGAGAAACCCAAGTTTTGAGCTACAATAAGGGCCCTAGACCCACTTATTCTAGGCTCCAAGACAGCAAGAATATCAATGTCAAAAGCTTTTTTTTAAATCCTTAATAGTGCCTGCACAACTATTTTTACCAGCACCTCATACATTCCAAGCAACAATCTTCATTATAAATGGAGATGGAGGGGTAGTGACCTTAGGGAGACCTTAATTCTATAAATGCACAGCCTCAAAGGCTGCAGGCACATCATGATAAAAAGGCATACCAGCCTCAAGTCCAATGACCGACTTACCCTGGTCCAGACATTCACTTTGTTGCTCCATATCCTCAGACGTATCCCTTATCTCTAAAATCACCCCTACATTAGGCTCCATGTTGTAATCATCAGGAGGTTCAGGTTCAGGAAGGGTGCCACCTTTAGCCAGGAAAGAATCATGGAAGAAAGGCCTATCAACATTGAATGAGAAAGTTCCACGAACATCATCCTGCATATCAGATCCACTTACTTGCATGCCAAAGGTTTCCACAACTGGGAAATTAAGGGGTTTAGCTCCAACTCTATTTTTTCAATCTTTCTTCGAACTGTTACCTACCTTATTCGTATCTGTATCCTTTCCCCCAAACGTTACAGTCGAGTTTGTAATGTCCTTAAGAGGCTTTTTGAAGACCCACGAAGAAGAGCCATAAGAGGTTTTGCTTTTGTTCCCAGCAGGTTTAGCTTTGCCATCAAGGTTCATTGCAGACCTAGCCACAATTTTGCTAGTCATATTTGAGCCAAAAGCAGTTGCTTTGACAGGGGGGAAATCTTCCAAAATTATTCCATTACCAATTTTTCCTTCCTCATTCAGGACATTAAACCGAGAGCCATTGTAATCATTTGAGTTCTTTGGGTTCCTCTTGCTAATTTCAGCGCCCTTTCTTGAGTCATTCAGGACCTTCTTCTTAAAATTCCTTGTTTTCATCAGCATCCACTCTCCATGTATCTTAGCTGGATTTTCAGCAGCCAGTGTAGATGGGCTATCAACTTGCAGTTCATCAATTTTGTTCGTATTATTCATTTCTGTAACACCCCGACCCCAAATTTATCCCACGTTTAATTAA